AAGTGAACAGTGTAATGATTAGGGCTTGTATTATGTGATGCCTCTAGTATTATTTGTTTTTTTTTTTTCCCCCAATCTTACAATTTTAATTTTCCACTTTATCCCTATCCACAAGTACTGTAGATGGCAAGCAAGAAAGATGACACTGATATTTCAGCTGCTTTAGATAGTTGGGGAAAAATTAGCATAATTATACATACTTTTAATTATTAAATTAATATCAATATCAAATAAACATACAAAATAATAATAAATTTAAAATGGAATAAAATAGATACTGTAAATTAGAAAGAGCTGGTCTATGAGTCCGAGAGTCGTGTGAACACTGTCCTAAAACAGATGAGCCTCCCCCGTGAGGGTATTGACGGACACCAGTGACTTCAAGATCAAACCTAAACACTCACAGTAGCACCTCCTCAATGGTCACGTTTACTAGAAAGAAGGGGTGAACCTGATTCGAATCGAAGTTGCCCAAAACCATAATTGGAAGATACATCTACAATATATATGAAAAATGATACATACTACAAAAACACATATATATCCATTAGATGTGTTAATATGAGCCCCCTTTTATATGTACTTGAGAATGCTAGCCATTAGAGGCTTTTAAGGTCTATCATCTAGTAACCCCCACCACATAAAGGCATTCAAATGCCAATTAAAACAAAGTATAATTACTCAATTAAATCATATAAAAATACAATTAAATCCTAAATTAAAAGTGATTCATTAAAACATATAAAATAAATTAAATGAAAAATTTTAAAGCTTTTATTATTTTTTTTTTCAACAGTGACTTCATTGTAATTATTGGAGTCATAATTTATTGACCTAATTCACTATAGTCATTAGATTGACCATATGATCCATTAAATATTAGAACTTAATGTTGATCTAATGATGTGAATCCAGTGATTACAATATAGTCACACCATTAGATCAACGAATTATGTCAAATTTTAAGTTTCAACTTTCAATAGCATTAGTCATCATCGCATAATGTGTGCCTATTCTTCTTTAAGGCCAACAATAATGTTACTTAGATCTAATCTATTGAGACAATGAGTTAACTTAATTTATTATTTTTGTTAGATTTATGGTGGACTTTATACAAAGTTGAAACTTTGCCGATGATCCAAAGCCCAAATGAATTAAGTGGAGCAGAATAACTTACCAGCATCATGCCTTTGATGATTTCATCTTTACAGTATTCAGGTTCACTTTCTTGGAATGACAGGAGAACATCGATCATTGTCTTGGTTTCCTTCTCAGAAGAAGAATTACTCCTCATTCTTCTATGCTCTTCAATCAAATCTTGCATGAACTGGTTTCTTTTTTCCTGTAATACCGCCAACTTCTTTTCAATCCCATTGAATCCAACCCATTCAGAATAGGCATGAAATCTCCCATATTTGTAGCTCCACTCAATCGAAAACTCTTATTACAATCTCCTTGAACTTTCTTGTTTCCTCCAATTCTGCCGCATTATCACCATAGTATTGCTTTCCAGCAATCATCTTCATTAGGAATTTGAGTATCATCTCAAAAAACCAATTTCATCTCCACCGTGTGGTATTCGCCGTCACCAGAGCCTCTAAAAAGCCGCAAATTAGTGAGTAAACCTCATGACCATGTATGCTGGAGAACATTTGAATGCGACTAGTTGACAGGATTTCAATGGTGGTTATTCTCCTTAAGTTGCGCCAGAGGTGGCCGGAGGAGGCCGAGACAATGGTGGTGTAATCATAGCCAAGGTGTTTTCTGGCAAGCAGTCGAGGGCGGTTCGCAAAGATGATATCGTTTTTGGTGAAGCAATCATCTGCAGCAATGGGGAAGATACAAGTAGTGATAGATTCCATATAAAGCTTGAAGAAGAAGATAGATGCACACAGAGAAAGTAAGAGAAACAAAGATTTTTCCATTACATTCTCAGTTGCAGTGTACAAGTATTTATAACAAAACTTAGTTACAATGCCAGCTTGGACTTAACTAACTAATAGACAAACTTGCAGGTTAGTTGCTGCAGCAACAGAATTGCATTCCTTCACATGGCAGTAGCTGATATATGAGAATTGCTTGTGTAATGCTGGTATTGTGTAATACACCCCCCAAACTGATGGTGGGGGACCAACCAGTAGTTTGTCTCTGAGAAGCAAAAATCTGGCAAAAGATAGACCTTTGGTGAAGACATCAGCCAACTGGATCCTTAGTAGAAATATACTGGACAGTTAGAGATTTATTTGCCACCCTTCTCGCAGATGAAATGAAAGTCTATCTCTATATGCTTTAGTTCTAGCATGAAACATGGGATTAGATGCAAGTGCCAAAGTTGAAATGTTATCACACCAAAGAGTAGGAGTGTGAGATGGAAAAAGTTGCAGACTTTGTAAAAGTATTAGCAACCATTAAGTTTAGCAGTGGTTTGAGCAAGAGCTCAAAATTCAGCCTCAGTAGAAGACCTAGATACAATACTCTATTTCTTTGTAGACCAATGAATGGGATTATCTCCAAGAAAAAGAAGATATCCTGTAGTAGACCTTTTGTCATTAGGATCCCCTGCCCAATCAACATCTATAAAAGCTGATAGAGTAAGAGAACTAGGCCTGTAAAAGAGACCAAAATGAAAAGTTCCCTTGAGATACCTTAGAATCCTCTTGACTGCTGCAAAATGAACATCTGTAGGAGAGCTCATATATTGACAAACATGATTGACTGAAAAGGTAATATCAAGTCTGGTAAAAGTGAGATACTATAGAGAACCAACAATACTTCTATATAAAGATGGATCATGTCACACCCCCACCCCGGATCACATAGGGTGAGCAGCGGACCGGTCACCGAGGCCTTAACTAGTCATCCATGTGCATAATTAATGCAAAATACAGTGGAAGACAAATAATAAAGTGATCTTTTTCACCGATCTAATGAATACCAGAGAAATAAACTAACATCACCGACATTATTTTAAACTCACGTAAAACAATAATTAATCCATAAGGTTCACTACTCTAAGCAAAAACAACATTATTTTCAAAACAATCGAATACTCGTCTCAAAACTATAAAAAAATATTTATTCCTGAACACCTACAATAAAATAAATCTTTGATTCTTCTAATCCCTTGTCTATCCGAGGACTTACTGCTTGACAAATTTCCTTGTTGTTTCCTAACCTATAAACATCACCTTTTAGCATATATAGTATATGAATAAGGGGAGTGTCACTCTCCTAGGGATGATGTCAAAAGAAAGGGCAACGGAATGATGGATGAATGAGATTTCAAATGTGAGTATGTGTGAACAAAAATGCTCCCCAAGCGCAAGGAGACTTTCACGGATCGTGTTTTATTTGGTGGTATTCTAAGGTCGTTTTCATGGGGAAGGAAGTAAACCGAGGGGAAGGTGATTTTGGGGAGAAAGAAAGTGCAAAATCTTTGATTGTTGGAAGTTGTTTGGTGAAGTTGTTTTAATGCTAGTAAAATGAGAAACAAATGTTGGCAAATCCAAGAGGTCACTCCAATAGGAATACCGTCTCAACTCAAAACCCTCCTCCAATAGAGCATGAATGAACAATTGATTCGTGGGAAGCTAGGGGTAAGATTGGTGAGTATCTAAGCATAAACCGTGACTAGGCCTATGGAATATCAAAGACTCACCAAGTTATGCACCCTCAACCCAATCAAACCGAACCATTGAACTCTGAAAAGAGGGGAGGAAAATGAGTTGAAATGGTATACCCAAGTAGAGGTTCCTCTTAGTTTTTCCAACTAAGAGATTTAGCTATTCATGCTTAAAATAAAGACAACAATATGATGAGAAGACATTATAAAAAAAATAAAAACTAAAACTAAGCATAAACGAATTGCATAAATTTAACTTCCGGATAACCACCTCTTACTAAAGATTGGATGAGAAACTACTCACTCTTCATAGCTTTGTTAAAACTAGAAAAGTGAGTGATGCTCATCCCTCCAAGTAGAGGAGTTACAAGGTAACACATTTTACACAATGAGCCGATCTTCGACAAAGAATGAGTGAATCACGTTCCACCCTTCACGGCTTTGGTAAAGCTCTAGAAAAGTGGAAGAGTTTCACTCCTCTAAGGGAAGAAGGAAGCTCAAGCAATGGAAGTAAAAGAAAGCAATAACACAATAAAAGAAAACAATACTTAAAGTAAAAGAAAGCAATAAATTAAAAGGAAGCAAGAATACAATAAAAGAAAGCAATACTTAAAGAAAGCTATCAGCAATAAGGAAAGCAATAATATTTTGGAGGGTTTTTCACTACCAAAAGATGAATGTTTTACAAGTCCTAAGGGGTGTTATTTATAGGCAACAAGGGAGGGTGAAAGTCTTGTTAGGTGGCTTTGAATCTTGTTAGGTGGACTTCAAGAGTCTTGTTAGGTGGACTTCAAGAGTCTTGTTAGGTGGACTTGAAAATTTTGTTAGGTGACTTTGAATCTTGTTAGGTGGACTTGAAAATCTTGTTAGATGACCTTGAATTCTTTGATCCTCCTTTGTTTTGAGCTTTGATAATTGGCACCCCAGTAGTTTGTAGCTTTGACGCATAAAATCCTGAAAAGAACAACAATTAATGCATTATCCTTTATTCACACACTAATTTTAATTTGATTTATTTTGACTAGTTTAACTTTATTCAACTAACACAATTTACCTATTAAATTATGCCTTAATTAGGGTTAATCACTTACTCCTCCTCCTGATCCTCACATGAAAAATGTTAAATATTTGGGTGAGCACAAAAGCCCGTGAGTAGCAACCACCTCTAATGAGGTTTGAAAATAAATCTCATATTTCATATATACAGAAATAAACTTTGTTATATACATAAATACAATAAATTGTACCCCAATCCCTTTCACAAAATCATATAAACAAAATGATCTCACGATCATAATAACTTTATAAAAGAAAAGACATTTATAGCTCAAAACACTCACACACATATTCAGTCTCAAATACACTTGTCAAATCATGTTTGTTACCACTAGCCTGGTAACTGACCCCATTTCTTGTCATCACTAGCCTGATGACTGGCCCCTTCTTTTGTTATCACTAGCCTGATAATTGATCCCTATGTGCACATCCCTATACCGACCACGCCGGTATACAATCTCGTTACCATTTAGACCTGGTAACCCAGTCCCCTTCTCATAAAACATGATTTCAACACGCACATTAAAACTGTTGTTTTAGTCCCAACGCACACAAAATTTCTCTTTCATCATCAAAACACATTTAAGCAATGATATAAAATCATTCCATAAAATTTTTCAAACTTCACAAGTATAACAATTCACAATTGCAAAACATTTACTTGCAACCCAAACATCAACATATATCATATATATCAAAATTCACACACGCAACCACAGTTTAATATAGAAAATTCTTCCAATAGAAGTAGTAAAATACTCACATTAATTTCCAAAATCTAATTCAAAGCACTCTTTCCCAACCTCAATGCAATCACCACCTAATCCAAAATAACATATAACAATCAATCATTTTTCCTAACTTCGTCGTTTTGCGATTTTATATTTGATTTTATACTTCTTACTCATTAATATATACTCAATATATATTTTACATATAAATATCCTTTCTAATATGAGGTAACAGCATATGGAAGTATTCTAGACTGTTTGGAAAAAGTTTCTAAAGTTCTGGGGTCAAATCATCATTTTTTAAACTTTTGGAGTCAAAGTGTAATTTCCTTAAAAACGAATTTTTTTGTTTTCGGGTCTGCCATAAATTTTTCAGAATAGTATTTAAGGTTCTAGAGACCCATTTTTCAATAATACCACCTCAATTTAATTTATTAGAGTAACTATTGATATTTAATCACTTATTCGAAACTTTTAGGGGTCGTTTCAAGATTTCAAAAATTTTGAAAAGATTTGGGGGCTGTTTTGACATAACCATATTTGTTTCAAACATACTGGGTCAATTTTATAAATTAACAAGTTCCATATTAGTTAAAAATTGAGTTTATCAAAGTATAGGGATCAAAATAAAACTACTTAAAACTAAGGGGGAGGTTTCCATAATTCAAAACTTTATCTTCTTCACCAGCCGTCCGTAAGCTTCTGGTTTCCTCCTTCTTTGTTTCCTTTTTGCTTTGTTAAACATGAAATCAATTCTTTAAAGGCCTAAAAAAAAATCATAAATCTATACTATGTAAAATCAATTCTTTAAAAACATTAAATCAATTCTTTATAACTTCCAATAAAACCCATTTATATATACCTCGCTATCCTTCACCATGAACACACACACACACACACACACACACACACATATATATATATGTACATAAGCTTAATACTTTGTAATTGAATCACTTATAACCTACCAATAATTAATGAATTCATACCTTTGATGAGTCCACTTCTTCCTTTTTTTTTTTTTTTTTCTTTTTTGTTCTTCCTTTTACCTTCTCTTTGGCCCTTTCTTTCTTTGTTTTCTCTCTGCCGCCTCCTACTCCTTTCAGCCAACCACTGATATATATGAAGCAACCTAGGGCAACAAATTTACTTATAGATACTATCTTTATCTCCCTTTAATGTCACTTAAGTCCCTCTAATTTCTTAGAATTACAGTTTTAATCGTAATATATTAGCGTACAACTAATTTTAAATTTTCTAAATAACTTCCTCTCTTTTTATTTATTTATAAAAAAAATCCAAACACATACATGTATCGGGTATTACAACTCTTCCCCTTTTTAAGAAGTTTGGTCCTCCAAACTTAGTGTGTCCTGAGGTTGGAACAATTGTGGGTACTTTTCCTTCATCGTTTGTTCGCTCTACTAAGTAGCTTCCCTCTCCGAGTGATTCTTCCACAAGACTTTAACGAAAGGAAAGACCCTGTTCCTCAATACTCGTTCTTCTCGATCCAAGATCTTCACTGGTAGTTCCTCATAAGACAAATCCATTTGCATTTGTAGCGGCTCCACCTCAATTACATGCGATGGATCTAGCATGTACTTCCTAAGCAATGATACATGAAACACATTGTGGATACCCGTCAACTCTGGTGGTAAGGCAAGCCTATAGGCTACTGCACCAACTCTCCCTAGAATCTCGAAGGGTCCAATATACCTTGGACTCAACTTCCCCTTTTTACCAAATCTCATAACCCTTTTCCAAGGTGACACCTTTAGGAATACATGATCGCCCTCTTGAAATTCTAAGTCTCTCCTCCGATTATCCGCATAACTTTTCTGTCTACTCTGAGCAACCCGAAGCCTTTCCTGAATCAACTGTACTTTATTTGTGGTCTCTTGTACTATCTCTGGCCCATATATCTTTCTTTTCCTGACTTCAGCCCAACAAATTAGCGATCTACATTTTCGCCCATATAAAGCCTCATACGGTGCCATGCCAATACTAGCTTGAAAGCTGTTATTATAAGCAAACTCAACTAGTGGTAAATGTTCTTCCCAAGAACCCTTTAAGTCAAGCACACAGGCACGAAGCATGTCTTCCAATATTTGAATAACTCTCTCCGACTGTCCATCTGTCTGTGGGTGATAAGCTGTACTAAATCTCAACTCGGTGCCCATAGCCTTTTGTAAACTACCCCAAAACCTTGAGACAAATCGAGGGTCTCTATCTGAAACAATCGACACTGGGGCCCCATGCAATTTCACAATCTCCTTTACATAAAGTTTAGCAAATTTCTCCAAGGGATAAGCAGTCTTCACAGGCAAAAAGTGTGTGGACTTTGTCAATCTGTCCACCACAACCCAAATAGAATCAAGTCCACTCGGAGTCTTAGGTAGCCCACTCACAAAATCCATAGTAATGTGCTCCCACTTTCATTCAGGAATAGGAAGTGGTTGCAATAATCCTCCTGGCCTTTGGTGTTCTGCTTTCACTTTTTGACATGTCAAACACCTAGACACATAGTCAGCCACTTCCTTCTTCATATTATTCCACCAAAATATCCCTTTCAAGTCCTGATACATCTTTGTATTTCCTGGATGAACTGTGAAACGAGAGTAATGGGCCTCCTCCATCACTTGTTTCTTGATCTCTGTGTTATTAGGTACGCATACTCGATCTCCAAATCTCAACACTCCATCTGCCACACGAAAATCAGTCTTCTCACCTCGCTCTATTTCTTCTAGAATCTTCATCAAATTTGGGTCATTCTGTTGTGCCTCCTTTATTCGATCTAGCAAGGTAGGCCGAACTTGTAAGTTTGCTACAAAAGCATTAGTCTCAAGTATCCCTACCTTAACCTTTGCTTCTTCAAGATCTCTCACAACTTGCTTTTGCTGGGTAAGCAAAGAGGCCATGCTCTCTGTAAATTTCTACTTAGTGCATCTACCGCCACATTTGCTTTTCCTGGATGATAGTGCAAATTCACATCATAGTCTTTGATTAACTCTAGCCATCTTTGTTGTCTCATGTTCAGCTCTTTCTGTGTAAATAAATACTTAAGATTCTTATGATCTGTATATATCTCACATGTCTCCCCATACAAATAGTGCCTCCATATCTTCAGTGCAAACACAACAGCTGTCAACTCTAAATCATGTGTTGGGTAATTCTGCTCATAAGGTTTCAACTGTCTAGAAGCATAAGCCACAACCTTCCCCTGTTGCATCAATACACAACCCAACCCTTTCTTTGAAGCATCACAGTAGATATCATACCCACCATTATCTGCAGGTATAATAAGAACTGGGGCAGACACCAACCGTTCCTTTAAATCATTGAAACTGTTTTCACATTCATCAGTCCACTGAAAAACTACCTTCTTCTGGGTCAACCGGGTCAATGGAATGGCAATTTTGGAGAAACCCTCAACAAACTTTCTGTAATACCCTGCCAAACCCAAAAAACTACGTACCTCAGTAGCATTCGTCGGTCGAGGCCAATCTTTAACTGATGCCACCTTCTGAGGATCCACTGACACCCCTCATCAGAAATCACATGTCCCAAAAACGATACACTAGTCAACCAGAACTCACATTTCTTGAGCTTGGCATAAAGCTTTCGATCCTGAAGAGTCTGTAGAACAATTCTTAAATGTTGCTCATGTTCCTCAGGACTCTTCGAGTACACCAAAATATTATCAATAAATACCACTACAAATTGATCCAAGTATTGCTTAAACACCCTATTCATGAGATCCATAAAGGCTGCTGGTGCATTGGTTAGCCCAAATGGCATCACAAGAAACTCATAATGTCCATAATGGGTACGAAAAGCAGTCTTAGGCACATCCTCCACCTTTATCTTCAACTGGTGGTAACCCGTTCGAAGGTCAATCTTCGAGAATACTTTAGCACCTCGTAGTTGGTAAAACAAATCATAAATGCGGGGGAGAGGATACTTTTTCTTGATGGTTACTTTGTTTAACTCCCTGTAATCAATGCAAAGTCTCATGCTTCCATCTTTCTTTTTCACGAACAATACTGGTGCACCCCATGGTGACACACTAGGCCAAATAAACCCCAAATCTAACAACTCTTGAAGTTGCACCTTCAGTTCTCTAAGCTCCACTGGTGCCATACGATAAGGAGCCTTAGAGGTAGGACTGGTACCAGGTACCAGGTCAATAGCAAAATCAATCTCTCTGTCAGGTGGCAATCCAGACAGGACATCCGGGAATACTTCTGAAAATTCTCTTCCTATTGGTATCTCCTCAAGAGACAACCCCTCATTTCTCGTATCTATAATGTTAAAAATGTATCCCTGACAACCTTTCCTCAACAATCTTCGAGCTTGTACTACAAAGACAAGGCTGGGGAAAGAAATAATCCCTGTCCCTTCGAAACTAAATTTTGGACGATTAGGAAGATGAAACACAACTCTCTTTTCAAAACAATCAACTGTTGCATGATGCGCAGCTAACCAATCCATACCCAATATTACGTCAAAACCCTTAAGGTCTAAGAGTATTAAATCAACTAATAATTGATTATCCTCAATGTGGACCCTACACCCTGGGTACACAACATCTCCTAACTCAGAACCACCCGTGGGAGTAGTCATAATCAAGTCAAACTCAAGTGCTTTGGGTTCAACACCTAATCTCATCGCTACTCTAGGAGATATAAAAGAATGTGTAGACCCTGGATCAATAAGTACTTTAAATGCATGCTCACAAATAAGTAAAGTACCTGAGACTACAGAATTAAAATATTGTGGGCTCTTTGGTGTCATTGCATAGACTCTCCCAAACCTTTGTTCCTTCTGTTGCCCTTGTTTCTGTTGACCCTGTTTTGATGCACCATCTGTCTTAGCTGGGGGTTTGCCTACTGATCCCTGCATTGGTTGGGGACAAAACTTTGCAATGTGTCCTCGTTGGTTGCACTTGAAACATGTCACCTTTGTCTGTTCACTAGCTTGTTTGTTTCCTTGAGCACTCCAACAATTCTTTGTTGAGTGTCCTGACTTGCCACAATGGAAGCAGAGAAGTTGTTCCCAATTGGTCCCGTAGCATGATTTGTCCCCATGGAATCTCCCACACTTCTGACACTTTTCTAGCTGTCCAGTGCCTTGTTGCCCTATAGATCTTGGTGCAAAAGACCCAGATGATGAAGTATTCTGCCTACTCTTCTTGAAATTTTGGGAACCACCCCTAGAGTCACCACCTGAGCCTGTTCTCTTCTTTTCTTCCCTCTCCTTGTCCCTTTCCTTTTCATTGCCCTCCAAAACTCTAGCCTTACGAACAACCTCTTGATACGTTGGTAGTTCCAAGGCAATCAGTTTCTCCTTAATGCTCCACTTCAGACCTCTTTCAAACTTCCTTGCTTTATGTCTCTCATCTGCTACCATGCGCATGGCATGCTTTGCTAATTTTATAAATTTCTCCTCATAATCACCAACCGTCATGCCTCCCTGAGCCAAATTCATAAACTCTTGTGCCAAACGATCCTTCTCTACCTGTGGAAAATATCTCTCCAAGAATCCAGTCTTGAACTGCTCCCAAGTCATTGGAGTAGTCGGATATCTCTTCACTTCCTTCTCCATCCTCCACCAATATTCAACTTCCTCTTTAAACATAAAGGCTGTATATGCCACTTTCTTACCGTCATCACACCTCGAGACCTCTAGAAGTTTCTCAATATCCATAATTCAATTCTCTGCATTTGTAGGGGTAGTAGTCCCTATGAAAGCATATGCCATCCTCCTAAACTCCTCAATGTTGAGTTCCTTCTAACCTTTCGGCCCTTCAAGGATCTTTGTGATTCCCTGCAAGGCCTTCCCAATATCCCTATAGACATTCAGTGGTGGTTCATCATTTACAAGCCCTGGAACATCATTAGTGTCAACCCTATGATTTGCAACACCCTTACCTTTCTTTCTTGCAGCCATCTATACTTTATACAAAATAAACTAAAACAAACTAATTTGTCTTAGTCACCAATGCAATAATACTATGCAATAGTATCATCATTCCATACCTTTCAATCCAAATCAATTAAACCCTAAATAATTCTTAAGATTCAGCCTAATCCTTTGGAAATTCATAAACCTATGCTCTGATACCACTCTTGTCACACCCCTACCCCGGATCACATAGGGTGAGCAGCGAACCGGCCACCGAGGCCTTAACTAGTCATCCATGTGCATAACTAATGCAAAATACAGCGGAAGACAAATAATAAAGTGATCATTTTCACCGACCTAATGAATACCAGAGAAATAAACTAACATCACCGACATTATTATTAAACTCATGTAAAACAATAATTAATCCATAAGGTTCACTACTCTAAGCAAAAGTAACATTGTTTTCAAAATAATCGAATACTCGTCTCAACACTATAAAAAAAAATATTTATTCCTGAACACCTACAATAAAATAAATCTTCGATTCTTCTAATCCCTTGTCTATCCGAGGACTTACTCCTCCTCCTGATCTTCACCTGAAAAATGTTAAATATTTGGGTGAGCACAAAGGCCCGTGAGTAGCAACCACCTCTAATGAGGTTTGAAAATAAATCCCATATTTCATATATACAGAAATAAACTTTGTTATATACATAAATACAATAATTGTACCCCAATCCCTTTCACAAAACCATGTAAACAAAATGATCTCACGATCATAATAACTTTATAAAAGAAAAGACATTTATAGCTCAAAACACTCACACACATATTCAGTCTCAAATACACTTGTCAAATCATGTTTGTTACCACTAGCCTGGTAACTGGCCCCATTTCTTGTCATCACTAGCCTGATGACTGGCCCCTTCTTTTGTTATCACTAGCCTGATAATTGATCCCTATGTGCACATCCCTATACCGACCACGCCGGTATACAATCTCGTTACCATTTAGACCTGGTAACCCAGTCCCCTTCTCATAAAACATGATTTCAACACGCACATTAAAACTGTTGTTTTAGTCCCAACGCACACAAAATTTCTCTTTCATCATCAAAACACATTTAAGCAATGATATAAAATCATTCCATAAAATTTTTCAAACTTCACAAGTATAACAATTCACAATTGCAAAACATTTACTTGCAACCCAAACATCAACATATATCATATATATCAAAATTCACACACGCAACCACAGTTTAATATAGAAAATTCTTCCAATAGAAGTAGTAAAATACTCACATTGATTTCCAAAATCTAATTCAAAGCACTCTTTCCCAACCTCAATGCAATCACCACCTAATCCAAAATAACATATAACAATCAATCATTTTTCCTAACTTCGTCGTTTTGCGATTTTATATTTGATTTTATACTTCTTACTCATTAATATATACTCAATATATATTTTACATATAAATATCCTTTCTAATATGAGGTAACAGCATATGGAAGTATTCTAGACTGTTTGGAAAAAGTTTCTAAAGTTCTGGGGTCAAATCATCATTTTTTAAACTTTTGGAGTCAAAGTGTAATTTCCTTAAAAACGAATTTTTTTGTTTTCGGGTCTGCCATAAATTTTTCAGAATAGTATTTAAGGTTCTAGAGACCCATTTTTCAATAATACCACCTCAATTTAATTTATTAGAGTAACTACTGATATTTAATCACTTATTCGAAACTTTTAGGCGTCGTTTCAAAATTTCAGAAATTTTGAAAAGATTTGGGGGCTGTTTTGACATAACCATATTTGTTTCAAACATACTGGGTCAATTTTATAAATTAACAAGTTCCATATTAGTTAAAAATTGAGTTTATCAAAGTATAGGGATCAAAATAAAACTACTTAAAACTAAGGGGGAGGTTTCCATAATTCAAAACTTTATCTTCTTCACCAGCCGTCCGTAAGCTTCTGGTTTCCTCCTTCTTTGTTTCCTTTTTGCTTTGTT